CCACGACGCTTCTGCGCTTCACGCCTGCAACATGGCGTACAGCTCATGGCATGGGATGGGCTAACTGGTCCAAAAAACTTAAGACCATTTTTTATTTCTAAGAATGTGACCATAAATTGTAGGTTAACAGAACTAATGCCTTATATTTCTTAGCATCTTCATACAGGAAAATGTTGTGGACCTGTGTAATTCCACAGCTAAACGCTAACGGATTATTAAGTACCGTGTGGTAGCAGCAGGATAGTGCACACGCACATTATGCACAAACGGTAGGGAATTACCAAAACAAGAATTTCGGTCACTTTTGGATCGGTTGTGGAGGTCCACCAGAGTGTCCTGCACGGTCACCTTATTTGAACTCCATGGCTTTCTTTCTATGGGGGTACTTGAAAAGGAGTTTATAAAATTAAACTCGATTGTTTTGAAGTTCTTTAACGGAACATAACGAATGAATGTCGCGAGATCGCGGTGGGGACGTTGCAAAAAGTGTAAGCCGATAGCATCCGGAGAATGCTGACCTACAAGCAAAACGACAGTGGGCAACTTAAACATCTATTACGTTGTGGTTTATGGCCGTTATACAGATTTCAGGTAAGCATACCTATCCTCCCTAACGAACGATTGCACTAATAAATTGAATCAACGACTAACAGCGCAAATTGTGCTTAGTGAAGAATAAATGCTAAGAGCATGGTCCAATGCAAACAAGACGGTAATGTGAGAAAGAAACGGGAGCAAGTGCTCCAGATTGAGTGCCTCAACTTGGCAACGAAATGAGTCTAACAAACGCTTCCGTTTGTTGGAAGCGAGTACTGAGGATATAACAGCCTTGATACCGTCTGTGTTTTCTCTTCAACTGAGACACCAACAAGCGCCCATCAAATGTTAATTACACAGGGCCGGACTACTCTCTATTGCTAAAACACCGCGCCAATAACCATGTGACAAGGATTGCTCTGGCTTGTCTACTAATCTGGCTTAACGCCGTCTACCCATCGATCGTAACAAGATAATTCCATGACCTGCGGCCGTGCCGGTAATGTATTCCTCAATCAGTGCAGAATGCAGACGTTTTGCTCTGGCTACCCACCCAACGTTGGGACCCACAGCGCGCCCCTGCAATATGCGCGCCGCAACTTTATGACTGGGTGAGCGAAATTTCGGTAAACTAAAAGTTACTATTGAACAATTGGTAATTTATCTTTCTCCCTTGTCACGCAAACGCGTGTGACGGTTACAAGTACAACTCATGAAAAGCCAACCACAGTTATCAAAATTACGGAATGTAAACGGCGGACGAGCCTAGACGAAACTATTACTTTCGTATGAAAAGTACAGCAAGAAGACGATAATCGGACGCAAACATGACCGCACGAAAGAAATGAAATCACTGGTCCAGAAAAATCACTGACGAATGGCCAGGAGCAATAGCTGATTACTCGTGATCGAAGCAAATACATGGTAAATTTAGTAAATATGAAGCTCTACATAGAGCAACTAGAGGCGCTGTCATTTGGACTTGATTACAAAATCCCAACCAGAACGCTAAACAGATTATTCACTGAAGTCCATTTCGAGAACTTTTATGGATTCATGATGTTTCAACCTACCAACCCTGGTTAGCAAACCTGATTTAGAAACAAGTTGACTAATATCGCCTATGAGTACAAAACAGCACCAATAAATGAAACGTTTGCGCTTACACGCTGACAATTTCAAGTGCTACATGGGCGACTTACTAAGGATCTGCTTGCAAGGAAGCCGGATAAGAGTGGGGGAGTAGTACTCGTGAACAAGTCTGATTACACGCAGAAAGTGGGAGTCATATTCAACGATGCGAGCAAATTCGTACGGCTCAAGAAAGTAGATGTGACTGGGGTGGAGGCCCGCTTTATATATCACCTTAATATGCTACTGCTCCATCGTGTGATCGATAGTGCTACCTAAACCCAGTGGTTCCGTTCCTCCGCAGCTCTATAGGCTCCCAACAACACAGTAGTGAAGTGCCGCTCTGGCTGATAATGATGGTGAATGCATCCCAGCATGAACTAGCTCGTTGGCTGGTGAAGGTACTATTTTTATTGAGACAGTTGCTCAACCCGTACCGTATAAGGACACATTTCTACTCATCATTGACCTCGATGCGATCAAACTGTCAGGGAAAATCTTGTGTACCCCAGAATTTGGAATAGTTCTTCACCAACCCCTTTACATTGTCGGGGTCGTGGCTGCATCTACCACATCTTCACCTTGCGTCAGTTGTTAGAGCACGGTCACAAATATTGGCGGCCCACCGTAGTCGTGTTCCTCGACATCAAAGGTGTCTTCGATTCGGTTGATCGATGTGCCCCTTAGAAGTGTCTACTCAGGAAAGGCGTGCCTGCGAAATATATAAATATTATCCCCACATTATGCGCGCTTAGCACGGGCAAAGTGAGGGCTTACGGCAAGCTGTCGCCATGCTTCAATGTCACCAGCTGTGTGAGACAAGGATGCCCGTTGCCACCTTTCCTCTTCCACTTCGCTATTGACGAAGTCATGGAGATTGCATTTACAGGACTTGACTTGGAACGTGTGTACTTTTGCTAGTCTTCGCCACCTATGGCGACGGCACGACATTACTCTCGCCCTGAAGGCCAGAGTGTACAATGCAGCGATACGTTCGACCCTACTGTACGGTTGCCAAATCTGGCCTATAAGATCGCCGGACATGAAGAGGCTAGTTACGTTCGACAACTGGTGCCTTCAGAGTTTGGCTCACATCTGGTGGGAACACCGTGTGAATAACAAGCATGTTCGACGCATTGTTTACGGCATAGAAAAAGGAACTGAATCGCTCAGCACCGTTATTTCACGCACCAGGCTCCGATGGTTCGGCCACGTGTTGCGCATGCCAGCCCACCGACTTCCACGACACGCGTTGTTTGCTCACCAGGGATGTGGGTGGAAGAAGAAGAGGAGTGGCCAAGCGATGACTTGGTCCAGAGGAATGAAAGTCCTCACTTCGGAGCTGGCCTCGGTTGGAGCGTCACGGCTCCCTGGTTGGGGTCCAGAAGACGGTGAACACGTTTGGCTGGATACACTTGCTGACATGGCAAGGAGCCGACCTCAGTGACGTTCGTGCGGTGAGTTTCTTTATCCCCCATCCCTTTTAGCCTCCCCCTCCCCCTACGATCACATTCCGTAACGTAAAACATAATAGTTTTTCTTTTTGCCTAGTAGCCGGCTGGTAGCTTACCGCAAAGACGCCTATCCGTTGCTGGTAGTTTAGCTGGCATGCAGCTGTTGTATTTATTTTCCTTTTCCTTTATGTATTGCGGCACAGTAGCTGAGGTGTTTCCCATCTCTAGCTGATGTGTATACTGATGATGATATGAACCCCTTTACATGAGACTGTGAATAATATGTGCAAATCAACTCAACACTCCAGCTGTTCGTCCCCGATTCCCACCGCATTACTGACAGACTGCTTACTGCTGTGCACACAGAATGTCGATTTTCAGTTACAGATCTAGCCATACGGCCAGATTGATGAGAACAATGGGCAGCAATCTTTATGCTTATGGTTGAAAGAAGAATGTCCACAGAGTTAAACCACCTTTCATACTACAGACGCTACGTTGATTACATATGGCCTTTCTGTTCATCGGAGCAGCAGATCGCGCAGTTAACAGAGCGCTTCAACGGTGCCCATACCAACATTCGCTTCACTTGCGGTGTAGATCAAGAAAACTGTCAGCTATTCTTGAACAGTATTCTCGCTCTCAGAGAGGACAGAGGTGTTAAATGATCAGTCTACCGAAAGACATATGAATTGGCCAATACCTGCATTTCACTAGCTTACATCTATGAGGTACAACGGGTCACTTGTTAAGAGCATATTCGGTCGTGCTAGACGACTTCGCTAGGTAGACTGCCTAACTGATGAGTTGGGACGAAGTACAAGTACGCTGATGTTGAACGGTTATGGCCAGCGATAAATATAGTGGTACAGTCTGCCACGAAGGCCAAAGGATCTAGTACAAGAGGCAGCCAAGAAGCTTTATCCTAAATTACCTTTCAAGGGTGATTTTGCCAAGAACCACTAGGCGCTTGATCGCTGCTGCGCATAGGACCTAATAAGCTGCTCAAGTCGTCGTCATCAACCAAGCCAGCTGTTTGCCGGTACCTCAGTCGAAGGAAGCTCTGACTATTGGTGCCAGTCCTCATTGTGTATACCAATTTGAATGTGAACGAAATGTAAGTTGCACTGACAGGACCAATAGGGCATGATCTTCCCGGAGGATGGAACGTGTACCGAAGTGGATCTTGAGTGCGATAGGTCAGCAGCCATACCCTCCCAAATCACTGCCGCCGTGTAAGCACCAGGCATCGTTGAAAGGTAAACACCTATTGATTACTGTTAACCGGATTCAGCTCCATGCTGCGTTCAAAATCTTGTTGCGTAACGCTGATTAAGGACTTCTTCGCCATTAGTCGAATTCAGCTAATGCAGTGCGTTAGCTTTACGCTTCCGTAGACATAATGAGCAAAGCGCTATTATCCGTTTTTGATCATCAAGTTTTTCTTTTTTGTTGGTCACACCCACCGTTTGGTATTGTGTCCTACCGGCTATTGTTACTGGTATTGAAAAGACAAAACGATATGTTTGCATACAACTGTTGTCTTCCTGTGCTTTTCAAATTGTCGAATGGAATTACTTGATTTTATTTCCTTTCGTTGATTTTCCGCGCTTTTATATATCCTGTGTTCGTTTCACTCTTAGTTATCTGTTGCCATGCACATGCCTGATGACAGCCACTGAAAACAATTTTGTTCGCTTGGCTGGCTTCTGATTGTAACGTTTTAAAATAAAATGAATAATTGTGTAAATTCTATGGGTGACAGGTTGGTGATGGAAATATGGCAACTAGAATCAAGAAAGGTCTCCAAAGAAATCTAATTGTAATCAATATAAACTAGTCCGATTTATAGACTATAGCTACACTGCATAAACTAACCTTGCAAAGCTTGCACCCACGATGCACTGCCATACCCCAGGGTAACGTGAACACATGCGTTGCTTCAATAAATCGGCAACTTCCTTCTGTGATTTCGTAGCACGTACTGCCTCATCACAACTTTCCAGTACAAACTTTTGCATTTTCTCATCCATATCTGTGTTGATCGTTTGGCGGTTTGGATCATTGGACATAATGGCAGCAATGGAGTCCTTTCAAGTGCAGCTATGATACAGGATATAATACTTCCGTTTTTATATAGACCGCATGTGTGACAGCCTCACATTGTTTTCCGAGATGGAGGAAGATGCAGATTCTTTCATAAGTGCACCCACACATTTTGTGCACTTTGAGTGTGAATGCGCTACTTTATGCTCTGAAGTGCAAACAGGACTGAATCGATGCGCCTGTTAGCCTCACATATGTCAGCCATTTCTCTCTACTTCTCTACAAACTGAGTCTGGTCAAGATTAACGGTGTACCATTAGTTGCTCTCTGTTGATGGCAAATAGGTCACGCCAACAAGCTAAGGTGAATGTATTTCAATCTTCTCGGTAATCCCGGCTTAGATTACATTGTCCGAAACTCATAACACCCATATTTAACGACCTGGATTAGTCCTGTCTTATAGCACTGCATACTTAGTTGTATGCCTATCCCCTCCCTCTTTGCCCTCCTCATCATAGGTGACTCTCAATGCCAATCATGTCCTCTAGGTTCTGCCGTGTATTTGATTCCGCCGAATGTCGCAATACTCCCCAAATGGTTGCACAATGATTTATAACGAGTAAAAACGAATGTTTGACAAGTCCCGTAGGATGACCAGAGGGGGGATTTTGATACCAAGACTTAAAATGATAATATAAGAGGAATTTGGGCTTTATGTGACCCATCAAACTATTCCCATGAAATCTGCTGCAGGTTCCCTCACCAAACGTTACGGAGAGACCCGGTGAGCACGCAGTTTGGTTTGCGTTATTTCCTCTCCTAAATGACAATGACAACGTCACCTAATGCTATCTAGATAAAGTGTCGTCTAGGCGTCTTTTGAAAAGCGTTAATGTAGGGGCCGAAATGATGTGTTTTGGAACGGCATTCCATGTTTGGGACATCAGAAGGAAGAAAACCTTTGGTCGGTAATCAAGTCGGCTGTAACGAGCGGTCGGTTTGGGCTGTTGGCAACTTTAGTTAGCATTGTGACTGAGTTGCAGCAGATCCAGACTGATGTGAATAGGATTCGCCCGTATTTGGTACACCCTGATATGATCTGCTCGCAGACACCGGTATTCACCGCTGTACAATGAAAAGGGCTTACAGCCTGCGTTAGTGGGGGAGGTGCAAAAATAACCTAGTGAGATTGGTCTCTCTACGTAGTTCAGTTTCAAGTGTTTCAACGTCGTGTTTATGCTAGGTACGTCAGGCTTGGACCGTGTATTGTACATGAGACCTCACGTAGCCGCTGAGCATTTGCGGATAAAACGTTCGAACTTCCCGCACGCGCTTTGTAGGAGGCCAAGCTGCTGACTGGCCCTTCTCAATACTTTTCGACCTGTCTCTATTATCTAAGTCCATCTAGCACAATCATTATGAGATCACCTTCAGTGTAGCACGTTGCAACTTCTGTTCTCCAACTTCATGTTCATAGAGAGGCTGATGGCATTTGCTTAAAACTTCGAATATTGCAAAGCTAAACGGGAACCGGTCCTCGGATGACCATGTGTAAGCCTTATTGGCAACGTTAAGCTCATACGGTTGATACGCTCTACCTTAGATTGCAAATGAACGAACGAAAAGCGACTGACCCCAGACAAGCAAGAACAAAAAAAGCCAAAAAAGTTTTACTAGAAGGACTCTGGACTGGCTACGGTTAAAATTGTGGCACCAAGGAGAGAGCTAGCTAGAGAAGATACCCGCGTGTCAGAGTCCGTAGTTGGCGGTCCGTGCCGGAAAGGCGTGTTTGCGTTGGTTCAAACAAACCCGAGCAACATTCAAAAATCGTAGCCACTCAATTCGATAGTTACGAAAAGAAACTATAATTTCAGATTATTTTACATTACAGTTCACAGTCAAACGAGGGGAATCTTCAGGTCAATACACTTTCACTAGAGTGCCCTATGATCGACCATTGCCTTGATGTCATGAGAGATACCGACATCGTCTACTAATAGTGGGAAGTTTGATTGTAGTACGATTGCACCATCGTTGCCAAGACTAGGAAAAGACAAGGTTCTGGTGCCGATTCTTAGGATACAGAACGCTGGACGTCGGTTGAGTCGGGAAAGACACTGCGCACCTTCCCATTTAGTCACCTCGAATTAAGTAGTTGCTTATCCAACCAAGGACAGGGTCATAAATTCCGTAGGTTCGAATCATATGAATGAAAAGGTAATGGTCTAGATGCTCAAACGATTTGTAGAATTCCGGGTAGAGGGCGTCGACTCCTACGTTAGAATCAACTGTCTACGGCCAACTTGGTCGGATAAGTAGAGATTTCGGTGGAATCCGTGCCGCTGTGACATTATGACGTGGTCCCTCTCAAGGTATCCTAGGAGTACTTAGGTGATAATACCTTCCATTACTTTGGACAGCGCCTGGATGAGAGTGCTTGTACGGTAGTTGACAGGCTACGCACGATCGTCACCAATATAACAAGTAGGGAGTAACCCATATTTTGTACCTTGTTAGAATCTTCGTTTCATATAGGCATCTGTGAAAGAACTGAATTAACATTTCAGCTATATTCAAAGCGAATGTCTTTTATGCCCTCGCACATTTATCCTCCGCACCAAGCGACTTGTGCACTCGCAAAACAATAGACTTTGTATCGCCTCCGATTCAGTAAAGGTTGCGTGGTTTAATCCTGGGAGCGTGTGATTTGTATCAAAACGGTTGATCTGAAGAGTCCCGCAGGGAAGAGATGGTAAACAATGAACAATGAACAATGATTTATTACGGGATAAAAGCAAGTGCTTGACACGTCCCGTAGGATGGTTGAGGTGAATATGATAAAATCAAAATATGTCTGGGTCATCTATCGAACGTCTGCCGATATGAATAGTTTGATAGGCAACATCAGTGTAAAATTAAAATAAATTATCGGGCGGAAACATGCAGAAAGACACTGGGATGCAGTGATCATTGAGGTAAAGAGTGAGAAAAGTAAAATATGGTCGCTCACTTAGGTCCATTTGATACATAAAGCCTGTAGAAATTCATCCTTGGCGTAATCCACAGTAGGGGAATTTAGGTAACAAAATGTTGGGAGCTAAGAGCGACATCCAATCGTTTCTTGAAAACATCCAGGGTAGGAGAGGATACAACTAAGTCAGGAAGTGCGTTCCAAGGTTTGCAAACCCGAAGGGAAAAGTAATTCCGTCGACACTCTAGACGGCTGTATTGTTCCTGCAACTTTAGGCAGTTACACCTGAGCTGCGTGTTGTGGCTACGTTTCAGCAAATGGCGGCATACGTGATTGGGGTCACTCAATATTTGATAGGCTAATATGAGATCACCGCGCAGTCTTCGATAGCGCCCGCTGAAAATTCCCAACAACTTCAGCCTTCGGTGATAAGAGTGGTAGCGCAGACCCTGCACATTCTTTGTTGCTCTCCGTTGTGGTGCCTCTATCGCTTCTAGGTCGCGTTTCAACCAAGGTTGCCAAGCTTGGATAGCGTATTCAACATGCGGGCGCACGTAGGAATTGTGCATCATTGGGAAGATTGATGGGTCAAATCTCCCGAATGCTCTTCGCAGCATGCCGACATGCTGGTTGCCTCTTTTCGCAGATACCTCGGCCTGTTTTGAACAGTTGAGGTCGCTCTGTACGATCACACCTAGGTCACGTTCCTGGGAGCTATTCTGCAGTCCGTTGGTCCCAAGTGAATAGGTGTAGTTATGACAATGGCGTAATTGTACGACGCGACATTTGTCTACATTGAACGGTAGGGCGTTTTGAAGTGACCAGTTCGACACCTTGTTAAGATCGCACTGGAGCCGTTCATGGTCTTCCGGCCCTCTGATCCTTCGCCATATCTTGATATCATCAGCGAAAAATAAGAAATCGGAAGTAATTGATCTCGCCAAATCGTTAATGAACATCAAGAATAGACGAGGTCCAAGAACCGAGCCTTGTGGTACTCCGCACGCCACATCGATTGCATCAGACAACGATTCTCGGACTCTCACCACTAGCCGTCGTTCTTGTAGAAAATTGTCAATCCAACTCAGGATTGGGTCGCCAATGCCATAATTACGAAGCTTGTAAAGGAGAATGCGATGGTTGAGGCGGTCAAATGCTTTTGATAAGTCCAAGTAGATGACATCGACCCCTACTCCATCATCAACAGCTTCAGTCCAGCTATTACGTGCAATTAATAGGTTAGTATTACACGAATGCTTTTGACGAAAGCCATGTTGCTCTGGGGCTATTAAATTGTGGCTTTCCATGTATTCCATCAGCGCGTCTGCGATGATTGATTCCATCACTTTGGATAGTACTGGAAGTAGTGTTATTGGACGGTAGTTGGCAGGATCAGTGCGGCTACCTCCTTTATGAATGGGAGTGATGACCCCTTCCTTCCATACTGGTGGAATACGGTTCTTCTCTAGACATCGCTGATAGAAAATAGCCAGTGGTGCTGCTAGATCACTAGCTACTGCCTGTAGAGCCTTTGGTCGGATATTGTCAGCTCCGGGAGAACTGTGGATACGCAAGGATAACAACTTCTTCAACACAGCTTCCGCAGTGAAGGTGATGTTTTCTAAACCAGGTGAAGGAGTAGTAGGAATGAGGAGAATGTTCGTGCTCGTTACCTCCTGGAAAGTTTTGGAGTAGTGAAGCCGTAGGAGATCAGCTGCTTCCATTGCTGATCGCGTGCACCCATCAGCCGTGACTAGTGCTGGAATCCCTCGCTTTACCTTTCGAAGGCCGTTACCGTGCCTGTACAGGAGTTTGCGGTTCGTACAGAAGCGCTTCATTAACTTCTGCTGATGCGTGACCTTGTCTTCGCGGATCAGTTTCACACAGAAGTTACGATGGGTCACGTATGCAGTCCACGTTTCGGCATTCGGGCAGTCCTGGTGATCTCGCCATGCCAAATCCCTCCGGGACATATATTTACGTGTCCTGCTCCTCAGAAATGAATTACGCTTGTTTTTAGGTTGGAAGGACTTCTCCTCTGATGCGTGCGCTACCAGTGTACTAAACGTCCTTGTAAATGTTTCCCAGGCAACATCTGGGGGGCATTCGGTTAAGAAAGTCCAGGATGTATCCTTAACGAGCTTAGACAAC